GCATTAGGGCCACAAACTGGCCTCCTGGAGAAAGATACAAATAAGAACCCACAGACAAGCAAGTCACAGAACAAATGCCGTGGCCCACGAGCCCGAAGACGCTCCACCTCGCTAGGAAGTGGGCAGGGAAAGTTGTCACTGTTCAGCTACCAGATCGTCAAGGATTATCTGGAGGAAGGTGGTGACGGCAGCTAATTGTATCGAAGCTTCCAGGGGCCAGCCCCGGTGCTCCACGCCCATGTCCCACCACTTAACCTGCCGGTAACAGACAGGGCAGGTGCTGCTGTTAGCTCTTCAATTACGGGTAAGGAAACTGAGGCACAGAGAGGCTGAGCCAGTCATCTGCGGCAACACAGCTAGGAGGGGAGAGCGGGCATATGAAAGCAGATGGCCTGGCTACAGATTCTTAACCTGTACCTACCCTGGGGCAGCGGTTCTCAAACTTCTCAGTGTCAGAATCCCTTCACAGTCTTGAAATGTACTGAGAACTCACTCCAAAACACTTCTGTGTGTGTGGGTTACATCTCTCAATATTTACCATATGGTATTAATACAAGATTAGTTACATCACATATTTATATTGAGCACATTGAAAGTGAGGATCTCGCCCAGCTGGTGTGGCTCAGTGGTTGCATGTCGACCCATGAACAACCAAGAGGTCACAGGTTCAATTTCCCAGTCAGGGCACGTGCCCAGGTTGCAGGCTGGATCCCCAGTAGGGGGTGTGCAGGAGGCACCCGATTGATGTTTCTATCTATCCCTCTCCCTTCCCCCCTCTCTTAAAAAAAAAAAACAGCCCTAGCTGGTGTTGCTCAGTGGATAGAGCACTACCTGGCCTGCGGACTGAAGGGTCCCAGGTTTGATTCCAGCCAAAGGCACATACCTGGGTTGTGGGCTCGATCCCCATTAGGGGGCGTGCAGGAGGCAGCCAATCAATGATTCTCTTTCATCATTGTTGTTTCTCTCTCTCTATCCCTTCCTCTCTAAAAGTCAATAAAAATATATATTAAAAAACAAACAAAAACAAAAAAAAACATATTTAAATAATAATGATGATGATGATGCCTGGCCAGCATGGCATAGTGGTTGAGTGTCAGCCTATGAACCAGGAAGTCACAGTTTGATTCATTGATGTTTCTATCTCTCCTTTCCTCTCTGAAATCAATAAAAATAAATTTAAAAAATAATACAACAAAACAAAATTTTAAAAAAGAAAGTGACCGCACTACAAAAAATAACAATAAAAAATAAATATATAATAAAACTGATGATCTCAAAAACATTGTCTTAACACGGGCTGGAGCCTCACATCGGCTTCAGGCAGCCACACCACATGGGGAAAGCCCGCCTCACAGATGTGCAGTTGGGTAGGGAGGGCCTCCCAGAGCCCGGAAGGGTCCCGGGGACCCATGCAACTCCTTGGACCATGGAGCACGACTGCCCAGGGGTGGCCTCCCATCTCAGTGACAGAGAAGTGAAACTCAGGCCCCGGGCTCCAAGCTCACCCCTCGGCTGCCCCGGGAAGCGAAGCCGGACTCACCTCTCCGTTGAGGTAGATGAGATCGAAGGCGTACAAACACACCTGCACCTGGATCTCCGCTGCATCAACCTCCTGGGTTGGGGCAGAAGAGAGCAGGGGTGGGGAAAGGTGAGTCGGGCCTGACTGAGGCAGACACTGTTGTCACCTACCACTCTCCCTGCTCCCACCTAACGGGCCACACAGCTGTGAGGGTGGCAATGGTGCCAGCCCCAGGCACCAAACTGTCAACAAAACAAAATTTTAAAAAAGAAAGTGACCGCACTACAAAAAATAACAATAAAAAATAAATATATAATAAAACTGATGATCTCAAAAACATTGTCTTAACACGGGCTGGAGCCTCACATCGGCTTCAGGCAGCCACACCACATGGGGAAAGCCCGCCTCACAGATGTGCAGTTGGGTAGGGAGGGCCTCCCAGAGCCCGGAAGGGTCCCGGGGACCCATGCAACTCCTTGGACCATGGAGCACGACTGCCCAGGGGTGGCCTCCCATCTCAGTGACAGAGAAGTGAAACTCAGGCCCCGGGCTCCAAGCTCACCCCTCGGCTGCCCCGGGAAGCGAAGCCGGACTCACCTCTCCGTTGAGGTAGATGAGATCGAAGGCGTACAAACACACCTGCACCTGGATCTCCGCTGCATCCACCTCCTGCGTTGGGGCAGAAGAGAGGAGGGGTGGGGAAAGGTGAGTCGGGCCTGACTGGGTCCCTCCCATCCTGCCTGAGGCAGACACTGTTGTCACCTACCACTCTCCCTGCTCCCACCTAACGGGCCACACAGCTGTGAGGGTGGCAATGGTGCCAGCCCCAGGCACCAAACTGTGATGGCTCAGCTGATCCCAACCTCTTCCCCTTTGTCACGTATTTGCTCTCTCAGCCTCCCTTGCAGCTAATGGTGGTGACATGACACATGCTGGCCAATGAGAATAAAGAAGTTTGCTGGGGTGTAGGCTGTAGGGGGCTGCTGGAACAGACCTTTCATAATAAAACACAGAGATGTAGCCCTAGCTGGTTTGGCTCAGTGGATAGAGCATCGGCCTGCAGACTGAAGGGTCCCTGGTTTGATTCCGGTCAAGGGCACATGCCTGGGTTTTCAGGCTCAATCCCCGGGGGAGG